AGGTGAAAGGCGAGTGCGTTACCACTGCGCCACCCGGCCACTCGTACATACGTAGATACACATTACATAAGTGCCCTAAATCAAGCATTATCTAATCAATTGCTGGTCCATATGTAAAACATGTGTCGATATATGTTCAGTCGAATAAATGTTTTACAGATGGTTAAAAGCATTCATAAAAGAATAAGCAGACCAGAGGAAATACATTCTTGTATCCTAAAGTAAACACCTAACTTGCGATTTACATAAGAAGTATATGATTGTGTCTGCCAATAAGACGTCTTGTACGTTTTACATTTACAGATATCAGGAATAGTCGACGGCTAATAGATATGAAATTAGACGCGTTCGATATTCGCAAGCATGCTTGGTGGTACTGTGGACCTAATGACCTGCATGACCTAATTTATCTAGTCTGACAATGATTTACATGGCGAGGCCGTCGATAAAGCAAAGGACACTTACCCTTCGGGAACATCTAATCCTATTCTTTTTGTGCGGTTTCAGTGGTTGTCTTGTAAGTAATTATTTTATTCAAATTTGTCGTCGCTTAATCGATTTCAAATTAGAGTAAGGACTCTGTTGACATGAAAATACTGGCTCTTCTGTGACTGATTTCATAACAAAAATGAATGAATTAACACTTAATCACAGCGTATGATAGAGCATGTACAATTATATAGGTTTAATGGTACTATTAGGTGTTTATGGTAACGTCTACCTACCACGGAAGTTCAGTCTTCATAGATGAAATTACGCTTGACGTCATAACTATCAACCATCACCAAAACATGTTTATAGTGTTTCCAGTGATCAGCAACATTAACAACAATTGATTAGAGATTGCTTGATGTAGGGCACTCATGTAATGTTTATCTACGTATGTCCCAATACGTTGTATTGTGTGGGCCCTCTATCATCTTCGTAGTACGATCTACTCGTTTATTTTACTTGATACATCTGCCTAGATGGCTACCACACCGACAACAGTGCAATTATTGCTGAGCTGATAAAGGTCTTTGGTATTTTTTAATTGATTATCGATAATTCTTCAAAATAAAATATCTAGACAAACATGTTTGTTCTAATGGAGACGAAAGAGTTACCATGATATTATACTAGAATCATTCTGACATACAAACTCATGTGTGGCCCACATTCTGAGCCCTGTCTTTGGACATACTAGTCTTCAAAGATAGTAATAATTACTCCCTGCTTACCACTTAACAGGGGAAGAGTTATGAATGATGTTCCTATGGTAAGCCTAAAATGACCAGGTGGGATTTCCTGATTGCTGTGTTCGGTATATACATCAGAGTGATAGGAATGAAAATCTCCTTTAGTTCTATCGTAAGGTGGCTTTCACTAACAAATAGTTTGGAAGTTAATATTTTACTGTGGAAATAATGTAAAGGTATAATGATGTCCGGTTCATATTAGTATTCTAGAATTTCTACCTAATGACGAAAATGAACCTTCTAGAACGATAAAACCAATGGCAAGTAAGGAAAATAGAGCATTAACGCGCGATGGTTTGTTTTCCATATCGGTCACATTTACTATCAACAGAATACTTTACTCATTAATTAACTGTTTTCTGTATTAACTATTTTCTGTAGGACAATGTAAGACACCCAGACGTATTTCATTATTTCATAAGGAAGAATCTGAAGATCACATAATATATAATACATGAACAGAAGTGATATTTGTGAAGATAATATGTTTATGACTAGAATTAGACAGAATTCCCTCTGTACTTGTGATATTTCTTGTCTTAATTCACTCAGTAACATTTTCTCTTATTGATTTACCTACATACATTGTGCTTTATTTTACAGGAAGCGTAGTTTCATGAGCGGTTCTGATTTTCCTGACGAACGGTATGAAATATGTATTAATTAGTTATGGTTTATTGGTTACTACTGATGGTCCATGTTGTTTGTCTACTTCGACATGCGATTTTGTCAGAGTAATTGTTCTAGTTTAAATCATGTTTCATCAATAATATAAATAATATATATCATTATCAGGAAGTAATAAGAAGAACACCCACAATGGAATGTAATTGTTTTTGTTATACTGATTGTATAACCTCCCACTCGTGGCGTAATTAATGCCTAATGCCACCGAGTGCGAAATAATCAGGAGATCGTAATCTCATCGGAACCTGTATTGGGAGTAATGTGTTTAATTATCTCAAAGCATGATTCTTAATGGAAATAATATTATATTTGTCAGTACACACCTGTTCATATGTACTATTATGATGGGGTTAGGAAGATGTTTCACCTTTTATACTCAGTTAATCATTGAAATATTAATCATTTTTATACACAAAACAACGAAGTCTTCATTGCATATGAAAAAAAAAACTTTCACAAATCAAAATCAATTTCGGTCTTTCAGGAAATCGTTTTGAAACATATCATATACCGGGTTTTATAGAGTTATAAACATTAGTACTTTTTACGAAATCACCCTTTGTATGTCTGAACTGCAACTGTGCATGAATAGTACACATTAAACAAAATGTATATATTTAAGTACAGCGAACAATGCGGTGTGCATAAGAGGCGAACATTTCGCTGTTATTAACGGTTTACAAATGATTCAATGCCAGATCGTCAGTAGATACCATTTTATTATAAAAACATATTAATAAATTACAAATAAACATACCATCGACCACAGTAGGCTGTTGATCATGTTGAAATGTCCTTCGTATGTCAACAAAAAGAAGCAGTTTACTTATCAATATAAACCTTTCTTTTCCTTTTTCAATCTTATAGGAAGTCAAACAACAGTAACGTAAGACTTCGAATTCTGTTTATAAACACACTTTTAAATATTCCGGTAGAAATTGGAGCCTTCAAAGGCGAGGCAGTACAATTCCTTACTTTTCCAATTTTCTCAATGCATTGTCTTATCTGCAGAAGTACAATTTCTTGATTTCCAAAAATGCAAATAAGATTAATCAAAGCTTGATTTAAAATATACCACAAAAAAATTGAATTGGCAAAACTGGTTTCACAGAAGCTGATTTAGTTATTGTTTATTTTTAAAAAATACAGAACACGATTGCATATAAATAAGTTAATGACATTGTATGATATACGCAGGTATACATTTGTTTTTAAAAAAATACAAATCTAGAAAGAAGATATCATAAAAGCTGTCTTATATAATTTACTAAATAAGTTCCTGTGTTTGAAAGGTGCGGTTTTCACTGCCGAGTCTATCGTGTACACAAAATGTCACAACATTGTTATTTACAGTGTTATATGTTATACTCGTGATATAGACAGACAAGACTAGCAGCGGGATAAATATTGATACCAAAACAATAAGTTAAAAGACATCGAAACTATATTCGAATATAATTCTTAATGAAAGTAAACTGCATGAACACTATCTGTGATTCTAGCGCTGGCCTTACTGAAATCTAAAATTTGTTGTGTACGACAAGGCTAATTCACACGTTACTTAGTATGATTTTGCAATGTTCTGATCCTGGATCAAACAAACAAAATTGTGGGACCAAATTAAAGACATTTGGAAATCCTGCAATTAAAGTAAAATATTGTGAAAACCTCAGGATACCGCCCGTGCAAACGATTACACAAGTGATTTTTCCAAAACGATGTTGATAAAACGTGTTGACACAAGAATTGAGAGTTATTTTAATGATGTTGCAATCTACAGTTCGCGTAGCGTCGTCAACTGCATGCGCCCATATGGTAATGTCAGAATTTCTTGCAGTTTTTATATTAAAATTGTACATACCTTTTATGGTTTGCAATCTGTACGAAGGATACAAACTCAATATATGCTTTTAGAGCAACTACGGTAGCAGTTGCTGCTTGGTTTATATGATTCCATTGAGTTGCAATCGATTTATGAATACATATATATGGCGTTAAACACCACGTTCTTTGATTTTTATTCTTTATTTGAATTAACTCATATGTCTGATCAACATAACTATTCCATGCAAATGCTGACAGATAACATTGCAGTTCTTCATAACACATCTGTAAACATTTAATCTTGAATATGTTGTTGAACATTTCAAATCAATCAATCGAAATGTAGGATCCTATTTCATTTCTCTAAAATTTTAATCTTTAAGTTATCGTTTATCGCAAATATGTAAGTCTAGTTGGTTACCTGCACTGAAAACACATTTTGGAGCTCTACGCTATCTAGAATTTCTAACAAGTAAATAATCACGACTAACAGCCAAAACAAATTTGTTAAGGGCTCTCCTACTCATCATTTTAACATATATGTTTTAGACATAATTTGATAAACTCGGAAAATGTTCTTTAGGCATAATGAAGATTGGTCTAATTATTTTCTTTAATTAATATATATCGTTAATATTTGAAACAGAAATTATCACAGTTATATTATATCAGCATAGTAAAAACCGACATATGAACATGATATTTGAAAATATTCGATGTTGTTTTAGACAAACATACAAAGGTCAATGTACACATATCTGTTAATTAACATGATAATGAGACACACGCCGACGGTTTCTTTCCAAATCACACAAGCATATAACATACATATACTTGGAACTGGTTGCAACATGTTACAAGACGAGAATTCATTAAAAAGTGTAACATGTCTCTGTTTAATATGTATGTATGATTGGACGAGGGAAATAACAAGGTTCCATGTAATGAATGACGCAAACAAACTTCTGAAATCAGACATAACCATACATTTTGTTAAATGATGTCCTGTTGTAAGGACACCTTAGTTATCATCACTTCAGCTGTATTTTGTACTTCATATGACATCAAAACCAGATGAAATCTGTTTATGTTTTGACTTTGCATTGCGAGGGTAAATATGTCAGCAACTGAGTTATAGTTATTCAATGGTTTCAACGCAAATCCAGTTGATTTTAAAACAATAAGTATACTATCTTTATCAATCTATCACAGTATTGGTGAAGACGTCAGACATCCTTCGCTTCAGTCAGGTCAAATACTGCTTGTATTGTCAAGCAAAGTTGAGTTTGAAGTGGAGTTAGCCGCTAACGTTGTCGTGGTTACAGGTGCTTCTGTTGGTACTCCGAGGTTGTTGGCATCTCTTACTGTAAAATAAATAAATAAAAATAAGATAAAAGAACACAATAGTCGTTGTCGCAAAAGCAAAACATTCATCGCCCTTTGTTTCTCTTGTAGAATTAAGAAACACTAATTGGCCAACGTGTGAGAGTGTATTTGTTTGTAAGGAATTTGGAAGAATTCAATGGCTACCTCAACCGTTCACCTAGGCCTTGGACAACGTTCGCGAAATTAAGTAAGATTATTCGTTCAATATAAAAATTGACATTGACGTGAAATTCAGGAATGATGACTCCTATCGTTATGAATATATATCTGCAGGTATTCACAATGGCCATCATTATGTATTTCAGATATTGAATTTTGGTTCCTCATACCATTTTATACATTTATTGCCCCTTCGAAAATGTTCTTATTTAACAATAGTCGTTATCATTGCATATGAATGCACGGAGCTGCTCGTCAATGTCACTTTGACAATTAGATAAAAATGATAAGCAGAAAAACAATATCGTGTCTGTACGACACTTGATGTTATGATATCACTGCGTACGTATGAACCAACCTATGACATTGATCGAAAAAAGAACATCAAATGCATATCTTGAACACACTCTCATACAACGTGATCAATATGCCCTACACATTCTTTCCTGGCGTTATAAATGTGGAACTCTCTCTCTCTCTCTCTCTCTCTCTCTCTCTCTCTCTCTCTCTCTCTCTCTCTCTCTCTCTCTCTCTGTCTGTCTGTCTGTCTGTCTGTCTGTCTGTCTCTCTCTGTAAAAACTGGGTTTTCCATTTTCCATTCTTTTAGACAACCAAGTTAAATATTCCAATTCCACTGTTTAGGGGACAACCATTCCATGTTTAATGCCTATCTGAACAATAGCATGATTATATTGCCATTGTCTGGCTATAAAACGTCTGTCAAATCTTTCCTCTTGTCACACACACTATTGTATTCCACTTATTCAATGATCTCACATCCAACATCGGTGTTCGAACAGCAAATGCTTCACGCCAAAGTAAGGTATTAACCTAAAATACAATCTTCTCATTAGAGAACTTAACATTACTTACTACTATTGACAAATATTGATTTTAACTGGGTTTTTTTATCATTCTTGTACTTTTTAATGGGTCTCAATGTAACTCTTTTTTGATATTTTGCCACTTTTATTTAATCTTAGTTTGATCTAGGTTATCGTGTTATTCTTTTTGTTGTTGCTGCTGTGTCTGTAAGGTAACCTAGCTTTAACCAATTAAATACACCCACTGTAAACTATTCTACAGCTTTAAATCTAGGGGTTGCAGTACTTAGCTTACCATAAAACAGATATAAATAATCTGTGTTTTAGCCAGTAATTGAAGCACATGTATGTCCTGTATTGTCGACGATAGCCCAAACCCACGCAAAAATGACAAAATTTCGGCATAAAATATTAATCATGGACCACAGACAACAAAAAATATGTACATGAAAATAGGTGAAGGTGAGCTTGTAGAATAAGTTTCTTCTATATCATCGACGTCAAATTCCATGTGGGACTTAGAAACGTCAAGATAAAAAATAAGTGAGATAACAGTGTAACATTCGAGTATCGATCACATTTAACATTTATGATTAACATTCACATTCTTGTCTTCTTTAGAGGAGCGTTTTGATATTAACAAGAAAAACTCTAAAACAGAACGTTACGTTATGGCAGTAACAACTAAACACACTCAAACGCATTATGACATTTATCACAACATATACTGTGTAAGGTAGTGTAGTGTATAGGCGTCATCTAACATAATCATAATAGGCTGAATTGGAATCCAGCCTTTCTTTAAGGCAAATGCGTGAGTAAAAAGATCTTTTGTAATCATTACTTTGTAATTTTGTCCAAAGGCCTATTCTTTGCAATCATGAATGTTTCCTTACAGATGGTAGCAATTTGTAGAGCTTGCCATTTACCTATAAGCCATATAGAATCAAAAACAGACAAACTAGATTCTGTTATCGATTTGCCTCACTTTACATGCTTACCAGCGGCTGGCGAATAGCACCTTAATTGGTTGTCTGTCTTTTTCCTTTGGCAGTATCGTTAAAATTGGAATGTGATAGCCAAGTGTCATTTTTATTGGTGATGTAAAGGTATCGCAATGTTTTACATTACCGACTGGCAAATAAGATATTTGTAGGTTCTTGTTTGCATCGTGTATAAGGTATTAAAACCATTTTATTGATATTTTAAAGTGGTATGGCATGTATGGATAATGGAATCAATATTTTAAAAAGTAAAATAATTACATGTTATATTAATTATGAACACTCGAGTGCTGAGGAAGATCAATTAAGGTTTTACATCAAATGTATTGAAGAAATGAAGGTGGGTATTAAAAACCCGTAAATTAACCAAACCGGCGCAAATGCGAAATACCAGCCCATGAAACGGAACTATCATACCGTAGATACAACAAATTGTCGTGGGGTTATTCATTCATATTTTATATCTTTATTATACACGAAGATGCTCTTTGGTTTTTATCCATATATACTTTTCTACTGTAACTATAGTCGGAAGATGGCCTGTGTTTTATCTTTTTAATATTTTATCCATAAATCTAACACAATGTTGACGGATCGTCCGTTCTTTATGTTTATGAAATATTATATTACCAATATCTATTTGGTATAACGAATGTCGATAGGTTGTTCTGTTCACATCGTTTTCATGAATATTTGATATGTACATTTTCAACACATCTGACGCAATAGTTTGATCGTAGCTTTATTCTCATATTGATAGACCGTTCCATAACAGTAACGTCATGCCGGAGGTTTGTCGATAAATGGTGCTAGTTATATATAGCTTATGAACTAAAATCATATATTGCAGACTTTACAATGTTCTTTACAACGTGGGTTAAGATTGTTTGAATATACAATTAGTCTAACACAATTATATTTGGTCATTTTCTTATGTAGTTTAATTGCTAGTCTTCTTTACATGATTTGTAAAAAAAAAATGTTTTCAGGTTGAAAAAAAATCATATTTGTTTCTTACGTCACGAAGTAACCGTGTAACACTTAAATTGAGAACATCTCAAGGAAGACATTCACAATACGTTCGTTTGTAAATCAAAATATCATGCACTAACTGCTATGTGTACGTATGATGGACTGTGATCAAACGAGCATTTTGATACATTTCATTTTAAAGGATATGAAATCGGTGTGAGATAAAAAAAGAACATAACGTGAAAAGTACATGGGTCGAGGTACAATACTTACCGAGATCATCGATGTGATCCGACATTATCAGTGAGATCATGACCAGGAGAACACTGACAGTGAACATAACACTAGATACAATCATAACAGCGCGGGCAATAAACTTTTGTCTTTTTGTCTTAGCTTCTACATGGATGTGTAGATTAGCCGCATGTTGTCGATGTAAGAGAATATCACTGAAGAGAGTCTGTGCCACCACAGGATCTATGTAATAGACATCCTGGTGGTAATTATCATAGGAACCATCAGTAATAATTTCTATATCATCCTCGGTCATCGATACACCTTGCCAGTGTAGGTGATCACACTGTCCATGGTCATGAGTGTGATCCTGCTCCACTAGCATAGCACCCTGAGCAGACCACGCCTGCTCGGATAGACATTCCATTTCGGATGTTTCCGACCACTCTTCGTTTCCTTCAAGTACTAGGGCAGTGTCCTGTCGTGACAATTCGGAAGATTCGTCAGTGTATTTTTCAGACATTGTTGCCTGGCTGCACGTGCATTGGCATTCACCCTGACACTCGCCTTCCGAGAGGAGCTCGATTGTCTGGCTCATTCTTATATTAGTACGAAATACGTCGATCTGTAAAACTCTTGTTCTATGCCATGATTGCAAAAGGTGAATGTAATCTAATAAACGTTTCCCTTGTGTGCAGAACAAAGTATCAGGTTTGTATGATTAAAAAGTACTTACACTCAATTTTTCAACTCCTTTATTCATTTTGTGCAGGTATTTTGGCTGAGATATTGGCAAAAAATAACCGATTCCCAGATTCCTTGAAAGGAAATATCGATTATTATTGCACACACGATGAATCCATTGGGTTGTATCCAGCAATTCAGTGGGTATACCTTTCCTAATGCAATTCGATCTGCAGTATGTAATTACCCAACTGTTGGAAAATTACTTCACACATATCATTGTTCCTATTAACATTTAAACAGGAGTACATGTCATCTAGGAACGGTGCTATTTAATTATAAAGATTTTGGTAAAAGCACTTTCTCATTAGTAGATAGCTTTGTCTTTGGGATATCCGTACTAGCAGCAAGTAAACTGGCCATCAGGCGATATGTTTTTCACCATCATCATATATGTGTAGTCACGACTGGCTGTTATTTATTTGCCCCCACATCAGTTGCTCAATGATGAGTAAGTATAACTGATACAATACAGTGTATCACGCTTTTATATCAGCAACAGAACACCAGAATCTACTGATTAGTAAAACTGCTACTGTAAAACGCAAGCGTGGGATTGTTGATGTATAGTCTTAATGAAATGGTCTTTTAAGGATCTGTTATACCGAGTGAACAATTTTAACATCCATGTTGTACATTTGTCTGATGTTGTATATTGTGTGACAAAAATAACATCAGTGTTATGCAATTATAATACACCATAAGAGAAATGGCTTGATGATTGCCGTTTTAGTGTCTATATTGACCACATTTGATGGACAGTGTTTCCAGCCCTTATCTAGTGAATTGTCTTTAGATGTGACATCAGTAGGCGTCTGATATGATTGTATGAAAGAATTTATCCTGACTATCCCATCCAAGGCAATGTCTACAAAAGAAACAAAAAGATATGGATTAAGGCATATAAATCAAAATCAATACATCATTCTATGAAACAATATGGTTGTTAAAATACAAGGTTACTCGAACAACAGGTTTCTAAAGCACGCAGTACAAAGTGACGCATAATTATGTTGCATATCGTATTGTAAAGATTGAATGTTAAGTACTTTCCTGGATTTAGAAGCTTGTTTCACGTCTTGTCAGATAAGCGGCGATAGTTCATATTTGAAAACAATGCATCTTTGTTGGGTTATTTGCATAGAATTTATAATTTTGCTCTTAAATGTGAATATGGATATAGATCAATATACCTATATGCCGATATCGTCATATATATAGTCCTTTTGTCTTGAATGTTGGTTATATAATGTATCTCATAACCATCCAGTAACTCGAAAAGTCGCATATGTTTTAAATGGGTATCCGTTTTTTTGACAGATTTAATTAATTTTTTTACATTGATTTATATCAGTCAAATGTGGGAAAAGGTGATACACAGTTTTCAGAGTAATTTACGGTATGTATGATGTATGTTTGTGTTGACTGAAAAGGCCTTTTGGGATCAGAGAAAGATGTCTGGGAAGCAGGAAAATGTGTGTCGATCGCAAAATTTCGACATGTATATTAATTTTTTTTATACCAATTTAACGATTATCTGAAAACATATTCTGGTTAATAACGAAAATTTGATGGTTCATGACACACTCAGAAGATAGGAGGTATAAAAAGCTTGTCTCTAGTTAAGTTCTTCTGTTTATTAATCTGTACGACATACATGTCGCAAGATTTTCCTATATAACATGAGATACGATAATGTTTACACAATAATGCTGTGTTACGATCTTCAGTGCATACACGTATTAGAGTTTGGTGATATTCAATCAAAAGGTCAAAGGTCACACATTGGCGCTTTTTGGAGGTAAAATACGTAAATAACAACCTTTGTACCACAAACTTTTGAAAACATTAATCTCAACACTGTAACTCACTTGATTTGATTACTAATTGACAGGCCAATTTCAGTGGTGTACGTGTCGTGCTTTTTTTGATGTGTTCCGTTTTCTTGAACATTGACGATAAATCAATAACTATTGATAAAATGTTGGCAAATTTTGCATTTCTACATTTATCTTAGCACACAAGCTGACAAAAACAGCATTATCTATATTCGTCACGACATCTTTGATACAACGTCAAACAAAATAGAATAAGACCACGTGTTCCGGAAGGGAAAGTGCATAAAGAAATAGAATCGTACAATTTCCTCATAATTTCATCAACCCGATCTCTCTTAAACATGGATCGTGAGTTTGTTAGTGAGTTGCAGACATCTCATACGAAAATCATGATATTGTGAATCAACCCTGGAATATCGAATATCTAATAAGCTGCGACATGTAATTTGCAGGAATATTGCTAAAATCATGTAAAATGTTAAGAACAATTTACAGAACATGTTTGCAACATAACAGGATTTGTTTACTTCAAAGACTTCTGTTGCTTGCACAAGTTTTGGAACCTGTAGATATGGAGGTTTGCCAGCAAGCATGTATTTTCTACCTAACCGTGCATTTAGGAATATTCATCTTTTCCCGGAGCCTAATACGTTTTCACTCCATAAATTATACGAATCGTTGATTGCGTTATGTATCTTTTTGTCATCTTTAAAGTTCAATGCAACAAATCATTAATAATAGACGTAGAGTATATGATGTTATGTTGAAGCAGATTGTAACATGTATATATCTGATTGATCTTTAAACCATCCATCCAGTGAATCCATCCTGTGCGTATCAACACACCTGATCGCTAACCTATCGAAAAGGCATAATGGTATATGTTCAAAGCCATGACTTGCATGAGCAAGGGTCTCCTTGAACACTGATGCATTATTCATAGCAGCTTGTTTTCCTGTTATCGGGGAAATTTGCTATTAAATAGATAAGTTTCTATTTCATATCCTTAGAAGATCAACAATTTATCAATATTTTGTTTTCATTTGAATTTTATACGTATATCCTATGTTTGGTCAAACCTGATGTTCTACAACAAGAGCAACAACTTGTGAGAGTTATATAGAGAAATAACATGGTATTCCCTTTATGTTATTTACAGTAAAATAGGGCTGGCAGATTAAGCTGTATTATTGATCGCTTGGGGTAATTGTTCTGGTCACTGCCAATATCTAATTTATGATTACAACTCATGTCGATATAAATCCTGGGTAACATCATACATCAGGACGAGTTGGTTTTTCAATTTAATCTGGTTATATAGTCAACATCCTGTTTGATGTTGAAGTCAACATTTAGTGGTACTATAGATGCAATATGATTTAATCCTATATTATGCAGTTTCGCGGCGGGAGATATGGATATCACTTTAGAAGATTGAATGCTATCCTATCTATTTTATGTTGAGTTTGATTTGAGACTAATCAATATTTTGAATAACGGTGATGTATAGTCCAGGTTGGTAAAACTGAAGTTCTTATATCACAAATATAGTAATATAATATGCGTTGGTGGTTTCTAGGACATGAGTTTTACAGAAATAAGTTATTTTATTCCATGTGTACTAATAAGGACCTCTTGACTTCAGGTGAGGATGTAAATAAATGGCAACATACATCAGTTGATTACACACCATGCATGTACATTGTATGTGTGTGAACTTGAATCTCAAACTAGAGTACTTAGATATAAATTAGAGGGATAACAGATTGAGTAACATTTAACTAGGAGTTTATTCCTGTTTGGTCGAATATTAAAAGGCTTCAAGACAAATACCAACATGGCAACATAATCAAATAACTCAAATGCCATACAACTAGGGAAAATATGAACAAAAGAAATATTTACACTATGGCTCCTACAAAAGTCCAAGGAGAATACGACCAGGTATTCCGTAAGTGTAAGTGTTTTCGGCTTCGCCGACGACACCCGCCATGTAAACCTTGGCCAATCCAAGTAAGTAATGTTACGTTCTCAAATGAGAACAAGGTATGGTATACAAGAATGGAACCAGAGGGCAAACTAACGAGCATCAAAAACGTCCAGCTTCATATCACACAACGGAACCAACAGTTAAACTAACGAGCATCAAAAACGTCCAGCTTCATATCACACAACGGAACCAACAGTTAAACTAACGAGCATCAAAACGTCCAGCTTCATATCACTCAACGGAACCAACAGTTAAACTAACGAGCATCAAAAACGTCCAGCTTCATATCACACAACGGAACCAACAGTTAAACTAACGAGCATCAAAAACGTCCAGCTTCATATCACTCAACGGAACCAACAGTTAAACTAACGAGCATCAAAAACGTCCAGCTTCATATCACACAACGGAACCAACAGTTAAACTAACGAGCATCAAAAACGTCCAGCTTCATATCACACAACGGAACCAACAGTTAAACTAACGAGCATCAAAACGTCCAGCTTCATATCACTCAACGGAACCAACAGTTAAACTAACGAGCATCAAAAACGTCCAGCTTCATATCACACAACGGAACCAACAGTTAAACTAACGAGCATCAAAAACGTCCAGCTTCATATCACTCAAAAAATATTTCTCAATGAGATCACTATGGCGATCGCGAAAGACGAACAGATGGAAATAGTTCTTGGACGATTTCAAAATAAGGATTGATCTAAATAGAGCATTTAAGTGACACAGTTATCATTGTTATAGAAATACAACCAGTTATTCAATATACATATGGTTATTTGAGTATACTGTTATTAAATCGGTATTTTGAAGACCGAATTCAACCTGCTTATTACATTTTAATCATAAATGACAAATGTTATACACAATAAATATTTAGAAAATATGTACTTGTTATTATTAGGAAGTTATAATCAAATACTACGTATGCTTATAAAAACTTGATAATCCAACAAAAATATATCATTTTGCTTTATGAACATTTTGAAAACAAATATATATTTTTATCAA